AGTAGCCTGGCTTTATCTAGCTAAAATCTTCTTTCCATATAGCCATATACTAGCTAAAAATTGGGAATTCTGTTACTCTATAAGAGAAGAATGGATAACTAATATTCTTTACCAAAATAGTCATTAAATTTTGTATTTCTTCTGTAAAGCTGAGTCAGATCTTTAGAAATCTAAAAAGATTTTCTTTTTTGGAGTTAGTAACCATACTCTGATATAATCAGCAGGGGTCACTGTTAAGCAAGTAGTTTCTTTACTATTCCCTTTGCTAAACCTATCTGCCATTGTATTTCTCAGCTATATAATTTATAGAAAAATAATTATAGTTGTATACAAAGCAACAATAAATGACAGTGTATGACAAACCACGCCACTTAGATTTTTTTAAACCTGAATATTTAAGAATGTCCTATATCTAGATAAATGTTTTTGCAGTGTCTGTTCAGGGGATGATGTCCTGCCTTAAGGCAATTAATGGAGAACAATCTAGTTGTTTTCATATTTTCCCCATGACCACATCCTTGTAATTGTGGATAGCTTAGAAAAATCCATAATGATCTATTCCTATGTTAAAAATGCATAATGATCTATTCCCATGTTAAAACCAGGTTACCCAGGAGTGTCAAATACTTGTACAGTCACTTCCCCTACAACAATTATATCTACATAAATTTGTTGTAATTCCTTATACCCTGGATCTAATTTGTTTTGAAAACCTTTATATTTTACATGAGAAACCTAAAGGTTAGATTCAGCTAATAGTAAAATATCTAAAACATAGATTCTGTCACTTCTGTGAAACATTTTACCAGCAATGCCATGAACTGGAGGAAAAGACATTTGGGTTTCCTAGAAAACATCTAAAATTATCGTGTCTACCTCTTGGATTGTTTTCTAAGCTCCTGCTATGTCACTGCAAATATTAAAATATTCTGATTATGTTATATAGATCTTATAGAATTATGATTTTTTAAATCCTGAGATCAGTAAGCTGCTTCATCTGGTCCATTGGTTCTCATACTTTAGAGAGCATTGGTGTCACCTGAAGGGCTTTTAAAATATGAATTGCCCTGGGGTGCCTGACTGGCTCAGTCAGTTAAACCTCTAGAACTCTTGGTTTATGCTCAGGTCATGATCTCATGGTTTGTGAGTTTGTGTTGACAGCTCAGAGCCTGGAGCCTGCTTGGGATCCTCCCTCTTTCTCTGTCTGTCTGTCTGTCTGTCTAAAAATAAACAAACTTAAAAAAAATTGTAATAAAAAATACAGCTCGCCCTTGTTTCTCTCCACCTCCTCCTCATCCCATTTCTGATATTATAGGTCTGGGGTACAGTGTAAGAATTTGCCTTTCTAACAAAGTCCTAGTTGATGCTGATGCTACTGGTCAGATGACCACAGATTTGAACCACTGATCTTATCCTTTCTTGTAAGCTTGGGGTAGAATATATATGTACAGAAGGAAAAGGAGAGATATGGAAATCTGGACAGATTTCCTATAACCTGGTTTCCCAAATCCTCCCAGGACCCTGTCTGTTCTTTTCTCCCCTTGCTTACCTTCATGCTCCCACAGAGACCACACCATTCAGTTACTTCAGGAAAGAAATTAGTTTCTGGGTGTGATTTTTGTTCCTTTTTATATCTAGAGTTCTAGAAATCCTGTGAACAACATATGGCAGGTTTATGGGGTTTTTAAAAATCAATTTAATTATTGTGTATATTCAAGAGAGCAAAATGCCTTACTAGGTGAGATATGTATCATTTAATAAACACTTTGAGTATATAGTATAAAGAGGTTAGCATTTTGGGGGCTCCTGGGTGGCTCAGTCGGTTAAGCATTCGACTTCAGCTCAGGTCATGATCTCACGGTTCGTGGGTTCGAGCCCCATATGTCCGGCTCTGTGCTGACAACTCGGATCCTGGAGCCTGCTTCAGATTCTGTATCTCCCTTTCTCTCTGACCCTCCCCTACTCACGCTCTCTCTCTCTCTCTCAGAAATTAAAAAGAAGTTTAGCACTTTTAATATATAAATAATTATCTTCTTGTGGATTTGAGTTGGGCAAAGTCTAGTAGATTGGGTGTTTAGTGAGTCTATTTTGTACTTAAAAACTTTTTTTTTCCAAAGATCTCAAGTTTAAGATCTATTTTGTGTGCTAACTCTGAAAAGGCTTCCAGGTCTCCATTTCTTATATTTTAGTTTTCTTTGCAAGACATTTTTATTTATGTCATCAACCCTTGATTATTCATTCCACTTTTTAAATGCATTATAGGGGCGCCTGGGTGGCTTAGTCGGTTAAGCGTCCGACTTTCGCTTAGGTCATGATCTCATGGTTCGTGGGTTTGAGCCCCGTGTCGGGCTCTGTGCTGACTGCCAGCTCAGAGCTTGGAGCCTGCCTCGGATTCTGTGTCTCCCTCTCTCTCTGACCCTCCCCTGCTCGCGCTGTCTCTCTCTCTCCTAGAAATAAATAAAACATTAAAAAAAATTTAAAAAATAAATGCATTATAACTCCTTCATGCATTCTTTTCTCTAAGAGTACCCAGAGAGGACTGATCATAATGACATAGCATTTTAGAAGCCATATCATAGCATTTTAGAAGAACTTAAAGTTGTTTAGGAGGTGGGGCACCTGGGTGGCTTAGTCGGTTAAGCGTCCGACTTTCGCTTAGGTCATGATCTCGCGGTTCGTGGGTTGGAGCCCCACGTCGGGCCCTGTGCTGACTGCCAGCTCGGAGCCTGGAGCCTGTTTCGGTCTGTGACTCCTTCTCTCTCTGACCCTCCCCTGCTCACGCTGTCTCTCTCTCTCTCTCCTAGAAATAAATAAAACATTAAAAAAAAAAAGTTGTTTAGGAGGAAATATGATGGCTTCATTTTCAAACATTGCATTCTAGGAGGAGGGTATGAATTTTTAATAGCTGCCATTAATGGGTAGAAATTATGGGGAAGTAGATTATTGTTTGATGTCAGATAATTTCCTAAAACATGTTATTGTCAGTTAATAGCATTACTTTTATTATAACATTGTCTGTTACACTGAAACTTGATAGATAGTCCAACTTTCCACCACCAAGTCCTTTTGCTTCTTCAAAAATCCTTTTTTCCAGTTTCTTTTTTTTAAATTTCCACCAGCCTTGTAATCTCACAGAGACCTTCATCATCTTTTACTTGAACTATAATTTCAATATACTGTTAGTTTAAGTCCTTGCCACCAATCCAAAGTTTAATTTCCTAAAGTTTTTCTTCTCTGCCAGATTGTTTCAGATTTCTAGCTTGACGTACAAGTTTCCTTCATGACCAAACTCCACTATCCACGTAACAGTTCATTCATTAGATTTATTAAGTTCCTACCATGTATCAGGCTCTGTGCTCAGTCCGGGAAATAGCATGAGCAAACATGAAAGCCATGGTCCTTGCCCTCACAGAGCTTTCCATTTAACTGGAAGATAGGTTGTTAGAGTTACCAGAAAATACTTATTGTAATTTCTCTGAATGTCTGAGATTCTGTCCACTACTTTACCCTACTCTTTATTTCCCTTCCATTACTTTTTCTACTTTGAATCATGAAATGCTAAGGCCTTCATGTATGACTTCATGCTTTCATACATCTTATCTCCCCCTTTTTTCCTAGTTAATTAATTTCTGGCCTTCCTTTAAGAGTCAGTTTAGATGTCAGCTATGGGCAGAATTAGTTATTTCTTCCCTTGCTCTTGCATACCTCTTGTCATTTATCTCTAATGATAAAGTATTTACTTACTTCTGTGTTCACTGTAGAGCAAGAGCTCCTGAGTAATAGAGATAACATCTCCTTTTCTTTGTATCTCATTGCCCTGAAAAGTGCCTGATTTGACAGAGTGTTCAGTAAATGTTCATTGCCTCAAGACAAGAGGCATCTATGTAATACTTAACAGCAGGGACTGTACATATTTCTTTCAGCTTCAGTGATGTGTGTTTGCTGTTTTTACTCTGCTTTTTATTGAGTATCGGTATTTGTTTTTTTATGTGGCTTACTGGATAAGCTTACAGTCTTGATCTCCTTTGTAGAAGAAATGGTAGCTCTGTTTAAAAGTGCCCGTTGTGGAAGGCGCCTGGATGGCTCAGTTGGTTGAGCATCTGACTTCGGTTCAGGTCATGATCTCATGGTTTGTGAGTTTGAGCTCTACATCAGGCTCAGTGCTCTGGCTCTTCTGTCTCCCTCTCTCTGCCTCTCCTCTGCTCTCTCTTTCTCTCTCTCAAAATTAAATAAAACATAAAAAAAAGTATCCATTTGGATTATTTGATTAATTTGTTAAATGATCAGTTTGTGCATCAATATTGCATATGGTTGTGAAGCCTTACTCGTTCTCTGCATGTTCCATAAAACTCAGAAGAGAATATTCCCTATCCCAGTTTCTGGCCATTTGCTTAAACAAGTAAATGTGACTTAGATTTAGAGAATCACCTTGTCTTATTTATTTTTGAGAGAGACAGAGTCTGAACGGGGGAGGGGCAGAGAGAGAGGGAAACAGAATCTGAAGCAGGCTCCAGGCTCTGAGCTGTCAGCACAGAGCCTGACATGGGGTTTGAACTCACAGACTGAGAGATAATGACCTGAGCTGAAGTCAGATGTCCAACCGACTGAGCTACCCAGGCGCCCTTCTTAATGACACTTTTAAATGGTCACTGTGCAGTGATGTGATTTTAAGCAAGCAAACCTTTTGCAATTCAGTTTCCTTACATAGAAAATGAAGATTATGGATAATGTGAAGATTCAGTACATTAATACATGAAAAACACTTAAAACAATACTACCATGTAATGTCATCCCTCTGATTGCTATTAGTTAATTTTTTCTAAAGCCAGGGGAAAAGTTAAATGTCTCAGATGTTTTTCAGGCTAAAGAGGCTTTGAAAATATGACTTTGCTTATAATACCCACTATACTTATTCACTCCTCTCTTTAGAGGATTGCCTCTAAACTTTGAGTTGAACGTAATAAAATGTTAAGTAACACTAAATGATTTTGTTTTTGCAGATGTTCTCAAATAGTGATGAGGCTGTAATCAATAAAAAACTTCCCAAAGAACTCCTATTACGGTAAGTCTGCTGATTTTAGTTTGGTTGTGTGTGTGTGTATCATATTTGTCTGTTAAAAAATTTTTAGACTTGTTGAGAATTTTCATGTATGTATAGGATCTGGATTATCTGAATTTGTAAATTTATTGATTTGTTAAACAGCATTAACTCTGTATTTTCTAGATATGAATCAAAAATTTAAATGTTTAATTACAATTCTTTCCTCTCTGATTTGAACTTATATCTGATTTTGTTTGCTTGTTTTCTTTTGCCCTCTTCTTAGATAGAATGTGAAAGAGATGATACATTTTATTTTATTGTAGTTTTGATCTTTTTAAAATGTTTGTTTATTTTTGAGAGAGATACACAGAGAGAGAGATAGGGCATGAGTGGGGGAGGGGCAGAGAGTGAGGGAGACACAGACTCTGAAGCAGGCTGCAGGCTCTGAGTTGTCAGCGCAGAGTCTGATGCGGAGCTGGAACCCACCAACTGTGAGATGGTGACCTGAGCCAAAGTCAGATGCTTAACCAACTGAGCCACCCAGGTACCCCAGTGCTGATTTGTTTGAAGTGATTCTAATCCATCTCTTGTCCCCACTTCCCATTCCTAATATCAAATATGACCATGGAGTAACTTGTATTTGCAACAAAATATTACATATATTGAGGTACTGTAAAGAAGAGTTATAGCCCTTGATTTTTAAAGATAAAAAGGTAAAAGTGATTTGAAACTCTTTCCTCTATTACAGTTATAATTTTACCCTCCTTATTTTTAATTCTTTAGAATTATATCTGGGGGGCACCTGAGTGGCTCAGTCGGTTAAGCGTCCAACTTCGGCTCAGGTCATGACCTCACGGTTTGGGGGTTCGAGCCCCACATCGGGTTCTGTGCTGACAGCTAGCTCAGAGCCTGGAGCCTGCTTCAGATTATGTGTCTCCCTCTCCCTCTGTCCCTCCCCAGCTCTCGTTGTCTCTCTCTCTCTCTCTCTCAGAAATAAATAAAACATTTTTTAAAAAATTAAAAAAAAAAAAAGAAATTATATTTGGGATCACCCACACCATAAAACACAAAGCTCCCAGTTTACATGCATCTGACCTAGGGAAAAAAACTAGGAGAGTTGTTTTCAGTGCCCATTATTTCAGTACTTAGTCATCCCATTCTTTGTTCACTTATAAAGAATATCATGATTTGGAAAGAAAGGTACATTCTCTTTTGCAAATGTTAGAAGATAACAAGTTATACCAGGACATCTGCTTCTTGCTTTTAGCTGCTACCACAGTGTAGCCCATAACCAGCCCAGCCCATGCTCATGGTAGAAAATCTTGCCCTGTTGCTGGTAAAGAAGAGTATTCCTGGCATTTCAAAGGATTTGCACATCTGACTCCTTCACTACATTGCAAGTACCTTGCAAGCAGGGACTGTCTTCTTCTAAATCTTTGTGTAATACTTTATACAATAGAGATACTAAGAAAAAATAACTGAATTGAACTTGGAATGGATTTTTCCATGGAGGCAATGCATTCATACATGCTGTATAGCTGAAATAATAGCAGTGTACCCTAGGCTACCCACAACTATTGGAGATGCATCCTGGATATCTTGAGTATCCCTCAGATTTTGGCAAAAATTTAATGGCACCATCTTAAAGAGAAATTTTTTAATTTTATTTTTAATTGTTATATTCTTCTTATTCTTCTTCTTCTTCTTTTTTAACATTTATTCAGTTTTGAGAGACAGAGAGTGAGCAGGAAAGGGGCAGACAAAGAGGAGACACAGAATCAGAAGCAGGCTCCAGGCTCTACGCTGTCAGCATAGAGCCTGACAAGGGCTTGAACTCACAAACTGTGAGATCCTGACTTGAGCTGAAGTTGGCCACTTAACCAACTGATCCACCCAGGTGCCCCTAATGGATTATATTCTTTATTGTTATTATGAACCGAGTACACTAAGACATACTTCAATTTTTTAAATAATGGCATTATTTTGTACTATAGTAGTTAAAAACTCACTAAGATTCAGGGAAATTAATTCTTTGGTAATTGGCTGCAACCTCTTTTGGTTTACATTTTTTTAATTGGAGTTTTTTCTCCATGGAAGACAGACATAAAGGCCTCATACTATATAATTCCACTTATATGAAATATCCAAGATAGGACCATGGAGATAGAAGTTGCCAGGGGCTGTGGTGAGGGCTGATGGGGAGTGACTGCTAATGGGCATAGGGTTTCTTTTGGGAATGATGAAGTGTTCTGAAATTAGTGATCATGGCTGCACAACACTGTGGACATACTAAAAACCACTGAATTGTGCACGTAAAAAAAAATTTTTTTAAGTTTATTTATTTACGTTGAGAGTGAGAGAGCATGCAAGCAGGGGAGGGCACCTGGCAGGCTCAGTCAGTCGAGCATGGGACTCATGATCTGGGAATTGTGAGTTCAAGCCCCATGTTGGGCATAAAGCCTACTTTAAAAAATATATAAATTCCTTGAGATAAATGGAGATACTAGTATGTTACAAAATGGAGGTCAAGAAGCACTAATTTGTTAAGAAAACAAAATTTTGTTGTTTAGTGATTAGAGGCTATCTGTCACATAACTTGGAATAAACTGAGTTAATTACATCAGACAAAAAGTAATTCGCATTTTATATTTTGTTTTTTAAAACTCTGTTTTACTTGGGTAAAATATACATAAAATTTACCGTTTTAATCATTCTTTATTTTGTTAAAAAAATTTTTAACGTTTTATTTATATTTGAGAGAGAAACAGAGACAGTGTGGAGCAGGGGAGGGGCTAAGAGAGACAGAGACAGAATATGAAGCAGCCTCCAGGCTCTGAGCTGTCAGCACAGAGCTCAACATGGGGCTTGAACTCATAAACTGTGTGATCATGACCTGACCCGAAGTCGGACACTTAACCAACTGAGCCACCCAGGTGCCCCCAGAAACTCTGTACTCCTTAAACAATAACTCCTCATTCTCCTTTCCCCTGTTGCATAATATTCCACTGTTTGTATATACCACATTTCGTACATCTGTCCATAGAGAGAAAGGGTGGATACCTTTCTTGTTGCATTGAGGGAACTTCCATGATGGCTGTTCTTTATAGAATAAATTTCCCATCTTCTTCAATACAGATTACTAACCACTCCCAAATAAATATAGATACCCCCAACTTCTGTGGCTCAGTTCCTAAAACAATAAGTTTAATGCAACAAACATTCTTGAATTGCTAAAATGCCCCTGCTTTTTCCTGTCATCTACTATATAGTACCTTTATGTGGAGTTTCATAATCTAAGGATCCTGTTTCTACAAACACATCACTAATCTCTGAGCAGTTTGTATAAATATAATATTACACCTAGGGGGACACAGGTGAGAAGCTTTACAGCTAATGATCCTAGTTAGACTTTAGTAACCTTTTCTCCACAAAAGAAAGCACTGTAGACAGACATGGCTGGAGGCCAAATTCAGACTTAGAAGACTCTGAAGCATGTGTCTCAACAATCCTAATTCCATTGTTAAAATGTACTGACTGGGGTTCTGAATATCAAGATCCCAAACGAGTTAGCTTTTCACCTGGATTTTGACATAAATGACAGTACATTTAAAAGAAAGAAAGAGAGAAGACAAATATAAGAGCTTGGTCCTTAAAGTCCTGATTTGGCTCCTTAGTAAGATGAATGTGATATGTATCAGTGCTTAAATCCCTTCTTCCACTCCATATGCAGTCTGTCCAAATATCTGCTATTATTTTGTAAACCTTGACTTCTATTTATTCTACATACTTGACAATGATGATAATTATCTTTAGAAACCCAACATAAGGATTGATGGGATAGGGTGCCAGGGTTTTAGCGAGAGCAGTGTTTTTTTTTATTGCTGGGTGAGCTCACAATGAACATTTATTCTTCCAAATATCATAACATTAACTTAAATTCAAAAAATGCCAGGGAGCCTGGGTGGCTCAGTCACTTGGGCATCTAGCTCTTGATTTCAGCTCAGGTCATGAGCTCATGGTTGATGATGGGTTCAGGGTTCGAGCTCTGTGTCTGACTCCACATTGACAATGCAGAGCCTGCTTGGGATTCTCTTTCCTTCTCTCTGCCCCTCTCTTGCTCTCACTCTCTCCCCCCTCTCAAAATAAATAACTTGAAAAAAATCAGTAGAGTTATAAATATATATCTGTAGCATAAATCAAGGGGAAATTAAATTGTTATGTCTATAATAAGCCAGAATAATAAACTACATATATTTAGCGCCTTCCTGCTTTTCGTCATCTTCAAGGTAAGTACCTAAGATCATGTTGACAGTGGTCCTTTTCTCCACACTATAACCCTTTAAATAATTCCTTCTAAAATACCCAAGTCCATAACCAGAATGGTTAAGTAACACATGATAACAACACTTACTGTGGTGAGCATTTCATAATGTATACAAATCACTATGTTGCTCTCTCTCTCTTTTTTTTTTTTTTTTAAGTAGACTCCACCCCTAGTGTGGGGCTGGAACTCACAACCCTGAGATCAAGAGTTGCATGCTATACAGAGTGGGCCAGCCAGCTGCCCTGATAGCCAGAATGGTTAAGATCAAAGATAGGAAAACTGAGATGGAATGAAGGGTCTGCTGTTGTCTAAGGATATTCTTGCTTGCTTCAATAAAAGTCTTTCCCCATTTCTTATCAATAGACTATTGAAAAACTTGGGGCGACTGGGTGGCTCAGTCGGTTGGGCTTCCGACTTTGGCTCAGGTCATGATTTCACAGTTTACAAGTTCAAGCACCCCGTGTCGGGCTCTGTGCTGGCAGCTCAGAGCCTGAAGCCTGTCGCGGATTCTGTGTCTCCCTCTCTGCCCCTCCTCCCGCTCATGCTCTGTCTACTCACCTTCCTCATTCTTGATAAAGAATACTGGGAGGCAAAATGACATTGAGACATCATGTGGAAGAAGATAGGATCTAATTATAAATAAAACTCATTATGGTGCAAAAAAAGAAAGGAAAAAAATAAAGCCCAAATCCTTAAT